ACACCGGCTCCCTGCTCAGCAGGGAGTCTGCTTCTCCTCTGACCCTCCCCCCTCTCATGCTCTCTCTGTCTCTATCTCATTCTCTCTCTCAAATAAAATAAAAATAAAATCTTTAAAAAAAAAAAAGAAGAGTATGAGGTCTTAAAAATCCAAGATGAAAGTAACAATAGAGTCCCTTAGATTTAGAGAGAAAATGAGTGTCTTGAACAGAGGTCAACAACCCAGCGTGCTTGCCCCAGGAATCACGAAGAAATGGATTATTATGGAGTCAAACCGGTCTGGATTCCAACTCCAACTCCCTCACAAGCTCTGAACCTTAGTTCCTCATTCGTAAAATGAAGATAATGGTGTCAATTTCATAAGGCTTTTGTGAAGGTTACAACAGATTGCACTGGGGTTTCCCCCTTTACTAGATCATCCAGCTTGGGTTTTCATTATCACTGGTGCCATCATCTAGGCTTGGGCCACAGCCTGTCACTGAGTATCCTCTTCATTCTTTTCCGGTATTCCTCTCCCTCCTTCAAAACCGATCTCTTTCAAGAGGTCTAACCCTATTATCAGATGGAATTGAAGCCGCTACGAAACGGATGTCAAAATGATCTAAAGATGATGAAAAACATTTCCAACAGTTAAGTAACTGGGACAACTAGTGGGAAGAATTCAATGGGAAGAAAGATCCCCAGGCTAATGGCTTCTTAATTCCATACCCTTCTAGGCCCTTATCTACTAACTTATCTAGTTTATCATGCATTATTCTGTACTCATTTGTGAGTGGCATTCATGGCTTCGTAACTGTCTTTTATTTTCATGATTTATTTTTCAGGTTAAATAGTAAATTTCTTGAGGACAAAAACTGTGTCTTTTGCTTTCTGTTTGCATTCTCTGTCTTTATGCACCCATCACGCTAGTGTGCACAAGGTAGATGCTCCCTAATAGAAAGAATCCTCTTAGTCCCACTACTGTCTCAGGGCACACATGTATGAGCAGCCTGATGGATATTATTCCCTCCAGATGGGTGATAGGGATCAGACCCACTCTTGCTAGCGAAGCCAACAGAGGAAAATGACACATAAGCTTTGTAGTTTACAGCTTATACTTCTAACCCTCTCAACAATCCTACAAGGTAAGTGATAAGATTTTCACTTGATAGACGAGAAAACGAAAATTTAGAGACGTCAAGTGACTTACCCAAGGCCACATAGGTAGCAGGTATCGGAGACCATGTTCAGGTGCAGATCTGTCAACTCCAGGCCTAGTGCTCTTTCTGTGAGCCAGGGCTGCTGTGCTCTGAGTCATTGGAAGATATTTGACTAACTGCATTCCTGAAACTTGTCTGGTTGTGGCTCAGCACCCATGGATTTAGAGCAGGACTGATCTGGTCAAGTGGCAGGATTAGGAGGAAAAAGACTAGTTGATTATAGAAGTACGGACCAGCATGGTATGTGTGTGTGTGTGTATCTGTAGATACACACACATTTTATACACACACATACATATGCACACCTATATGAATAGATGATGATAAGACCATGATATTTGTACTACAGTGTTAAATTCAAGATTGAGTAAATATACTAACATAGTAGTCTAATAAACAGATATTAAAATTTTTAAAGTTTTATTTATTGAAGTAATCTCTACACCCAGCGTGGGGCTGGAACTCATGATCCCGAGATCAAGAGTCCGATGCTCTACCCGTTGAGCCAGCCATGTGCCCCAACAGATATTTAAATTATCAGGTTCTATGGTGTATTTTCCATCCCCCTCCGCCGCCGCCTTTCTTTCCAATCTGTTTTTCCAACGTTCATTCTGGTAAGCAAAAAATGAATCATAGTATCCAAAGAAATAGATTTTACTTTGTTCTATCCCAAATCCAGATGATTGAGGGGGAGAAGGGTCTAAAGGAGGGAGAAGAAAAGTGCTTTTACCAATAGGCCCAGGACTCAGATGTGAGGTGCCCTGTTCAGGCTGTGTTGCTACTGCTCAAACTCCAGGCCATGGGTGGCCCCGGACTGGCACACCTTGGTTCTCTAGGTGGAACCTGCCAGCGACCAGGCTTCATTTGCTAGGTCTCATGGATTAGCCCAATTCAAAAGCTACCCTACATCTACCTAACAGCTAAGAACATAGGCAGCCAAGAAATGCCCCAAGGTTCTTGGGCCCCAATTCAGATAAAAAGTGCTCCAGGATCACTGCCATGGAAATGATGATGCTTCCATTCTCAGTCCCCTTCTCCTCCTCCCTCCACTGAATGCGACCAGACTGATGCAGATCCGAACTTGAGATTCAGATCTTGAACCACCACTGTGTCCTGAGAAAAAAGTGTAAGTTCGGAGTGAAGAAGCTCCGGGGTTCAAATCTTGACTGTGGGACCCCAGACAAGTTACTTTACTCTTAGAGCCTTAGAACTACTCTAGATCCGTAATATGAGAATAAGAATTGCCATGTGCAGAGGGTTATTGGGAAGATTTGGCTAAGTGCTTAAGGTGAGTGTCACAGAGAAAAGACTTGGAAAATATTAGCACCCCCCCCCATCCGCTTCTCCCAGTGCACACCCTGATCGCTGCTCCTAAGTTAGCCAGGCCAAGGTGGGGCTACACTTGGTGGGGGCACAATCTCAACCATCGAGGTTACACTGCTGGAGGGGCACCCCTGATGCCAAGGAGCACCCCTGATGCCAAGCTGCCTCAGCACCCCATAGTGCTTATTTGACACAGATCAGATCTTTACCAGAGATTTGTATTCAACAGGATCACAGTTTAAGAACAGAAGTGAGAGGAAGAATGGCAAAGTTAATACATGGTTATAAGTTCAAGCCTCTAAGAGATTCTTAAAATTGTCTTTTACTTGGAGAAAAGAAGGTTGAAAGTGAATTTAACAGAGACCGAAGTGGGATAATGGCCCTGATCTCTAAGGCCAGAAAAAAAGGAAAGGAGTTGAATTTGCATTAGAGATGGAGGAAGAAAGAAAGACTGAACTTAAGGCAAAACTTCCCTAGAAGATTATTACATAACACATTGGGACAGGTGACCCTGGAAACCTATGCGGTGGTCTTCTTTAGAGCTCCATAAGAAGAGGACCCCAGTTTGTCTGGACTGAGAGAGGTTCTGACCTGGCTGAGTAGTCTGCCCCGGAAATCAGTGGGAGAGAGGCAGGTGGGTGGGGAATATTGCAGGGATAGTTTTTGAACCCCGGAAAACGTGCCTTAAAGCTCTTTGAGAGCTTTCAAGGAAAAGAAACAACATCAGAGTGATCTGAGACTGGGAGACAGAATCCAAATACCAAAGAAGGAAGAAACCCAGTGTGGGGAACATGGGGAAAAGGGAGGAAAAGAAACAGTCCATTCTGTATCCAAGTGACATGCCACGCTACTCCTGGTGGTGTCATCCTAACTTCCCTTCTGTGGGCCTCAGTTTCTTTTCTGTGAATGAAGTGCTTGGATTAAGCACTATCTTGTGTCCTCTTCAATTCTGAACTTCTGTTCACAAAGTCGATCCAGAGAAAACGTGAGTACATCTGTGAAAAGCCACCACCATCCAAAACCCGGGCTGTACTGGACGCACAAGACAGAGGGCCAAGGCACCTGCGCCGGTGAGGGCTGGGGCTCTGGGGTCAGACCTGGGTAGAGGGTAGAGGATTTGAATTCCTCTCTGCTCCTCAGCCAGAAGCTAATGGTTCATCTTCTTTGAACTTCAAAATCTTCATTTGTAAACTGGGAGTAATAATAGCTCATTGGGGGGTTGTGAGTTTAAATTAGATAATGCAAGCAGAATACTTAGCAGATACTTATCTAATAGCTTCTATATATCAGACACGTATCAATAAAGTGGTACTTATTGTGTTAGTATTCTTGGAATGAGCATTTTTAAACCTTTTTATTTCTATCTCTACTGAATTTGTAGGATATATTGCAACCAAATCATATAATTTGTTGCGATGGTGGCATTTGTTCTTAACATACTTGCCTTTTCTTGTTTTAGCAGAATAAATCCGAGTTCATTCAGCTGTCCTGAATGGCATGTTAAAATACATAGACAATCCATGTTTCTCTGGCTGCCTCTACCTATTCTCTGTCCTTTTTAATTTGTAAAGTAGAATTGACAAAGTAATTGTCCGGCATGCCCGCAGCTCTGAGTCGTTGGCGCGGTCCTTAGCAAGCCCGGGTCCCCGAGCCCCGCGCTGCCCCTCTCCGCCGTGGTCAGTTCCTCCAGGATTCTGTCGATGTCGCCGTTTAGCTGCTCTTCTCTGCACCGTGGCCCCTCCCTCTGCAACTTCGGTTTGCTCTTTTCAATAGTGTTTCCAACTCAAAAACCCCTATCTGACTCTTCGTGAGGCAGGATGCCCCATTCCCAGCTTCACACCCGGCGGCCATGGGATGTGCACCGGGTTGATACAGAATTCAGTCCACCAAGCTGAGAGGGCGCGGCTCCTGGGCCAGGGTGGGGCACCAGGTTAGGAGCGGCCTCCTGCCTTTTGGCTTGACTTCCCCGCAGGGGACACCGTAGGCGGCTGTGCGGTCCGGCCACTGCCCCCCGCCCCTCGCGTCCGGCCGCGCCGTGGGTTGCGGTCTCTGTGGGGGTGGCAGCTCCTGTCCGGGAGGTTTGCGTCTGGCGGGGCACCCCGGAGCCGCGGGGAGCCCAGAGGCGAGGCCCGTGGCGGGGTGGGGCGCGTCCGGGCGGGGAGGGCGAACTCGGGCAGCACAGGGGGCGCCGAGGGCAGCGGGCGGGCGGACGCGGCAGAGGAGCGAGCGGGGACGAGGGCTGGCTGGTGCCGGGGCCGCCCGCCCGAGGGGGAGGAGGCTGTGCCGCCCTTGCTGCAGGTTCGCTGTCGAGCGCACAGGAGGCAGGGACATGGGTAGGGTGCGGTCTGCGCGGGGCCCGAGCCCGGATCTCTTCCATTTCCCCTCTCACTCGGCCCCGAGCTGCGCCGCAGACGGCAGCAGCTCCCGCTCCGCCCGAGCCGCCTGACCGCCGGGCCGGGGTGCTAACCGCGGGGCCCGCCAGCCCGCCGGCCCGGCCAGCCCAGCCCAGCCCGGCGGCCCGCAGCCCCGCCGCCCGCCGCCCCCCGCCGCCGCCGCGTTGCCAAAACAAACGGGCCGGCCTATTTATTGGCGGCCGGCGAGCCGGGCAGCTCAGAGTCGAGGCGCCGAGGGGGACAGCGCGCCGCCACCAGCCAGGGCCCCGGGCCCCCGCCCCGCACCTGAGTCCCGCCGGCCCTGCGCCGCGCCGCGCAGCCCATGGCGCCCCCACCCGGAGCCCCCCGGAGCCAGCCGGACGCCTGAGCCCCCGCAGCGCTCCCGTCGACTCGCCCGCCCACCAGCCCACCAGGCGCCCTCGCCCGCCGCTCGCCCGGGCTCCCCGGCCATGTCTCCCGCCCGGCTCCGGCCCCGACTTCGGTTCTGCCTGCTCCTGCTGCTGCTGCTGGTGCCGGCGGCGCGGGGCTGCGGGCCGGGCCGGGTGGTGGGCAGCCGGCGGCGGCCGCCGCGCAAGCTCGTGCCGCTCGCCTACAAGCAGTTCAGCCCCAACGTGCCCGAGAAGACCCTGGGCGCCAGCGGGCGCTATGAAGGCAAGATCGCGCGCAGCTCGGAGCGCTTCAAAGAGCTCACCCCCAACTACAATCCCGACATCATCTTCAAGGACGAGGAGAACACGGGCGCCGACCGTCTCATGACCCAGGTGAGCGCGACCCGCCCTCGCAGGGCGCCGCCGCCGAAGCACCGCCACCTGCCCGGCCCTCCCCGCCCCCCTGGCACCTTTTCTCGACTGGCTGGCACGCCCCCTGGCACCTGCCCCTCTCGCCAAGCCCGGCCGCCTGCTGCCCGAGATGGGCCGGCCAGGGGGTCCCCGGCGGCAGCGCGGACATCCGCGACCCCGCCGGAGGCCGTGAGAAGAGCTCCCCGCTGCCAGGCGCCACGGCCGAGCCGGGTGGCGCAGCCCCTCCGCCCCGGAGTGCAGGCAGCTGAGGCCAGATGCGGCACCCGGAGGTACCTCCCGCGCCGCCGGGACCCACGCAGTCCCTCGGGGCCTAACCTTCCGCACGGCTGCGCCCCTCTTCTTTCGAAGCCATTCGGCACCCCTGAGGCGAAGAAGCTGCGGGCGCAGGGGGCCTTTCCTCCCCGCGCTCGTGGTCCGCTGCGCTGCCCCCTCCTGGAGCAGCGTCCGCCGCCCCCCCCCCCCCCCCAGTCTGGGGTTAGGGACGGCGGGAAGAGTTGGGCTGGGAGGCGGAGGTGGGAAAGGGAACTTGCCTGGCGAGCCCACGTGTCTGTCCCCAGAGCGGAGCGGCGCAGCTGCGGTTAAGGGTGGGGTGCCGGGAACTTGGGGCTCTGGGACCGAACTTGGGGGATCCCTGGGCTTGGTGGCGGGCCGGGGAGGGTTGAAAGAGAAGAACCAGGATGCCCGGGGAGGCAGGGAGCAGAGCTACCGCTAGCTAGTTTCTGCAAGCTCCGAAGAGGACCCGCTCAGCCCACGCACTGGGGAGCAAACTTTCTTCCCTGCAGCCGGGGTCCCAAGGGATCAGAAACCTACGTGCCCTTCCTCAGTGGTCTCCCGGGGCTTCCCCCGCAGGCAGGCAGCCTGCTCCCTAGGTGCTTTGGGAAGAGCAGCTCCACCACAACCCTCAGCCTGCGCCCTGGCGCCGGGGCTGGCCTGCCGGTGTCGGGGCCGAAGGTTGGCTGGTGGCCGGGCCGGGCCGGGCGCCGAGGAATGCAGATAAGGATCCAGGCCACGGGCTGGGCAATCATTGACAGCGCGCGCCCGGCTCTGGACCCGGGGGAGGGGGAGAGAGGCGGGGAGCAGGGGCCCGACTGGCGGGCCGACGTAGGTGGGGGGCTAGAAGCCTGGAGGCAAGGAGCACGCAGAGCTCCCTCCCTGGGCAGTGAGCAGCCCCCAGCTAGGCTGCTCTCCCCGAGGACGGCCAGGCCTTGGGCTGTAGCCCCGGTTGGCTCCTGGGAGACCCGAGTCCAAGGGTCTGTGGGGCCCGGGCTCTGCGAGGTGGGGGTAGCTTGAGACACCGTCTGCCCACACTTGGCGGCCCCTCGCACCTGAGTCAAGTACTGTGAAAGGGCCCCCTCTTCCTACAGGCCCCTCCCCCCAGTCGATTGCAGGGTCCTTTGGGCTGCAGGCACGACGGGGAGTCACCACAGACGGGTGAGCTCTCCCGTCCTTCCCGCAGGGCGCGGTTCTACTCCCACCCCCATGTGAGACAGAGCGTGGAGCCGGCTCGCTGAGATCAGAGGCTCAGTTTCTTGGGTCCCTTCCCTGATAGGGGCAGCGCAGAGGTGCCGAAGGCTCTGGACTCAGGGAGAACGTTGCCTGGTGTTATCAACCCTGCGGGCTCCCCGTGCAGCGGGAGTCGCTCTGCCTCGCCCTCCAACTGGCCAGGCTGGGCGCTAGCATTTCCACCAGCTTCTGGTTCCCCCGCTTCCGCATCCTCGGATTGGTTGCTGGACGCTTTTGGATCTTAAGTCCCAGCAGGAATACTCTGTGGCAACCAAGAGATCTGGGAGGCCTGGGATTCCCCTTCAACACACCCCCACGCTGCTGGGGCGCTCTGCACCTGCCCGGTCCAGGGGACCCGAGTTGGGGGGCTTCAGCCCTGAGGCTATGGTGACACCTACTGGGCATGTCCGGCCTTGCACGCCTAGCGGGCCAACCGCAGGCAGTCGGCACCCCCACCCTGCGGGCAGAGGGTGGTTTCTGGTCTCCGGTGCCTTGGTGGGACAGAGGGACTGGGCACTGGAAAAGTGTAGCCCCACCTGTGGAGGGATCAGTACCCCGATCTGAGGGGAGAGAGAGAGTGCAGGAGGGAGGGGCCACTTATCAGAGAAGGTCGCCCAAGGGTGCACCGCCCTCCGGGCCCTCCAGATTTGTGGCGCCACCGTGCGGTCCAGGTCCCTGGAGCCACCAGATGCTAGAACGCAAGGCAGCAAGTTAGGGCTCTTTGTTCCTAAGAGACAGGGACAGAGCACCCTCCCTGGTTTCCCAAATCCAGCGGATGCTCTGGGAGAGGCTAGAGGCGCACCTCCACCTGCCCGCAGGGCAGCATCTCCCCCTAACTCCGCGCGCTTTCCTCCCGCAGCGCTGCAAGGACCGCCTGAACTCGCTGGCCATCTCGGTGATGAACCAGTGGCCCGGCGTGAAGCTGCGAGTGACCGAAGGCTGGGACGAGGACGGTCACCACTCGGAGGAGTCGCTGCACTATGAGGGCCGCGCGGTGGACATTACCACTTCGGACCGCGACCGCAATAAGTACGGACTGCTGGCACGCTTGGCAGTGGAGGCCGGCTTCGACTGGGTGTATTACGAGTCCAAGGCCCACGTGCATTGCTCCGTCAAGTCTGGTGAGCCGCTGCCTGGGGGCTGGGCCCGGGGCCGGGGCCGCAGGGCGTGGGCAGGCACAGGGCTCACTGCTGCCCGGAAGGTGAAGAGGCCCGCCAGGGGATGGAGGAGGGGACCCCAGGGAAGAGGACGTCCGCGGCGCTCCCTGCTGCTGCTTGTGACCACCTGCTCATCCCATGCCTGGTAGTGTCATGGCAGGAGCCTAGGGAGACAGGGCCCTGTCCCAGCGCTGCTGGGGGCCGGGCTTGCGGTCCACAGTCCAGAGCCTTCCACAGGAGGTGCAAGACAGAGCAAGCTGGACAGATGGAAGCCAGGCTGTGACAGAGATGGCCTCCCCACTCAGCTGACTCAGAATGGAGGCGGGTGGTGGGACCGGGGGCCAGGGGCCAGGGCGTGCCCAGACACCAGCACGCCTGACCGGGAGCCAGGAGCCCAGAGATTCAGAACCCACAACCCTGCTGCAGGTCAGGCCCTTTGGGGCACTTTGTATACTCCTCCAGGGGGTGCAGGCGTAGGCGTCCCCAACCTCTCACCCCCCAGGGCCCTGAAGCTGGACGTTTTGGGGCAAAGCCAGCCACGAGGGCCAGAATAAACAGAGTGGACTCAATAAAATGGATTTTCCCAGATTGGCCGCCTTGTTGATGCGAATGGGCAGGCATTGGGGCCTCGCCCCTCCCTCAGATCTTGTCAGCATCCGTGACACCTACACTGAACCCAGTCATGGATGCTTCAAATGGTTCCTGCGTGACGGCCAGTCTGGCCCCACCTGGCTGCGGGCACAGCCCTCCGCGCGGGCACCAGGCAGCAGTCACGCTTGAAGACCTGGCACACTGAGACCACGCCCACTGCTTCCTATTCCCAAACCCACCGGGGCACACAGTGGGGGCCCCCACCCCCAGCCTCCCCTCCAGCACTTGCCCGCCAGTTGTATCTACTTCAAGTCACCTCCACCCTTCACCTGCGAGCCACTGGCCGGGGGCCAGCCCCCCAGGCGGCCACCTGCATCATTATTCCTGACCCCCAACACTGCTCTCCATCCCACTCACCAGTGCCACTGTGTCCTGTCCCCACACAAGGACCCAGCACATGAACTGAAGACGGTGATTTTACCCTTGCCACTGAGCCAGACCCTGGCCTGACCCTTCGCTCCGAGGCGCCCCCGGAAGCCTGTGTTTATGCATGGCGGGTCCCCCCTCTCACCCTTCTATGGACTCCAAGGGCCAGCTCTGGCCCAGAACTTGGGGAGTCCGTCTGAGAGGGCAGTTTTTGGGGAGTGTCTGAGCAAGGAGTGAGAAATAATGGGACATGCAGACCCCAGAGGAGCTAAGTGCCTTCTCCACGAGACTGCAGCTTTCCGAGGGTCGAGCCACAGCGGACCGCGGCGCAGCTCAGCCGGCCCCTGGCCTCTCTGACTGCTTCCCGGCACTGTCAGGCTTGAGGGCCGGCGGGGGCTTTACCTGGGCTTCGGCAGGGCCCTTTCCTCCTCCCTCGCTGTCTTGGCGCCCAATACGCTCCTCTCACTGGCAAAGGATTTGACTGGGGATGGGAGGGAGGAAGATCACATGGTGGGTTGGGGTGGGTTCAAGGCTGCATGGGACTGAGGGAGGGAGTGCGGAGCAGAGCCAGGAAATGGTGATGGGGGGGCTCTCCGGGAGTGAGAGCGAGAGGAGCTCTGGGGAGGGGTGCTGTGACCAGCAGTAACACCTTCATGTCCCTTCTTCCCACAGAGCACTCGGCTGCGGCCAAGACAGGTGGCTGCTTTCCTGCTGGAGCCCAGGTGCGCCTGGAGAGTGGGGCACGCGTGGCGCTGTCAGCCTTGAGGCCTGGAGACCGGGTGCTGGCCATGGGGGAGGATGGGAACCCCACCTTCAGCGACGTGCTCATTTTCCTGGATCGCGAGCCCAACAGGCTGAGGGCCTTCCGGGTCATCGAGACCCAGGACCCCCCGCGCCGCCTGGCACTCACGCCCGCCCACCTGCTCTTCACCTCCAACAATCACACGGAGCCAGCCGCCCACTTCCGGGCCACGTTCGCCAGCCAAGTGCAGCCCGGCCAGTATGTGCTGGTGGCCGGGGTGCCAGGCCTGCAGCCTGCGCGAGTGGCGGCTGTCTCCACACACGTGGCCCTTGGGGCCTACGCCCCGCTAACACGGCACGGGACGCTGGTGGTGGAGGATGTGGTGGCTTCCTGCTTCGCGGCCGTGGCGGACCACCGTCTGGCTCAGTTGGCCTTCTGGCCCCTGCGACTGTTTCACAGCTTGGCGTGGGGCAGCTGGAGCCCGGGAGAGGGGGTGCACTGGTACCCCCAGGTGCTCTACCGTCTGGGACGGCTCCTGTTGGAAGAGGGTAGCTTCCACTCGCTGGGCATGGCCGGCCCAGGGAGCTGAAAAGGCCCCTTCGCTGCCCTCCTGCAACTGCCTAACTGCTTGCCGGCAGGGCACCAGCGCTGGCCGGGGCCTGAGTTGGGGGGCGCTGGTTCCCACCATCTCCTCTTCGACAGAGACACCCCATCGCGACTTGACTGGGCAGTGCCAGTGTGGACCATCCCACCTCGATGCCGAGCCGGTTGGGGCGGGGTGGGGCTGCTCTAGCCTTCTATTCTAGAGACCTCGAGGCTGGCACAGTGGGGCCAACCCAGCCAGCCCTCCCTTCGGCTTTTCACACCCGCCTTCCCCACAGGGGAGGGCCCATTCCATTTGTCTCAGGCCCCTCTTAGTTGGGCTCACACCTCAGTTGATGCTGCTAGATTCCCTGGGAGCCAGCAGGGAGCTGGCCGGACTCATCACCTGCTGCCCAGAACTGCCAAGGCTGCGGGGTAGGGCAGCCAGCCTGGCCACCCTGAGGCATGACCTTCGTCCCTGGCCACACTCCCCGGGACACATCCAGAGACTGTTGCTGTGGTGGCCAGAGTTCTGGGTTCCAGCCAATGTGATCATAGTGCCCGGGACCAGGGGAGGGGGCTGGATGTCCTTCCGCCCCTGCCCAGGCTAAGCTCCCTCTTCTGCTGAACCATGACCCCCACACCCCCTCCGGTCAGTCTCCCCCACCTTATTTATTGGCGCGGAGGGGGAAGCCCATGGGAGAATTTGGGGGATGTTTTGGTCTTTTCTTCCTTTTGTAATAAAAATTATTTAAGTTGTTAGAGCCATAGAGTCTAGGATGCTGAGTGGGGCCAATACACAGACAGCCTGGAGCCATGGGTGGGTCCGTCCGGGGCTGTGCTCACCTTCCTCCACGGACAAAACCTCCCATGCTCCCACCATCTCTGCAGGCCCTCCTCACCCAGCAGCCCAGCAAAGTCCCCACAGAGAGCTGGGCTCTGCGCCAGGCAAGGCCTTTCACACGCTGACCTCCAAGTTTGCCCTAAACACTACTGGACCAGAGAACTGAGGTAAATAGCCCAGGGTCACTTTACTCATCTAGAACCACCTCACTGTGCCTAGTTGAGGCACTTTTCTTGCTTATTCCAGACTTTCTCAGGGCCTGGGGTTCTCTTCCTTCAGTGAGAATAATGGACCACGGTACGAAAAGATTCTGTAGAATTCGCATCTGCCCCGTGGCCCCTTCTGACTTCTGGGATAACTCAGGGGTCCCTAATCTAGCAGCCCTCAAACCTCAGAATCACCTGGGCAGCATGTTTAAAAATGATTCCTGGCTCCACTCAAACAATTCTGCTTTAATAGACGCTGAGTGAGGCGCAGGAACTTATTTTTACAAACACACCAAACATGGCAGATGGTCCATGGACTGCACCTGGAGAAACATTGCTTAGTCTAGAGAAGGCCCAGTTGGTTGTCCAGACAAGGTGACCCCCTTCTTCATTTTCTCTTGGTCTCTCTAGCTCAAGGCAGGTTTTTCTGAGCTGATCTCACTACAGGTCAGCTGAGATTCCCAGGTCCAGCGGCACACTTGTGAAATTGTCAGACGTTCCACAAGCCAATTGAAATAGTTGAAATAGCCATGGCGGGAGTATTCACACCATGGAAACTGATGTATGCTCCGAAGTAGAGTTCCCCCGACCATGGAGAGCCAGTTGCTAAAACACACCACTGCCCAGGTTCTCCCCTCTTACAAAGATCACTGTCAGGGATGACTGCTCAGACTCTTACCTCACCCTTTCCCCACCTCCGTGGAGGAAAACTCTGGAGAAAACGTCATTGCCCTGGATACTGTGTCTTCTGGGAGGAAATAGACCCCCACAGGCCATAATGACAACTGCTGTTGTTCAGTGAAGACTAACCCTCACCACTAAGTGCTTTATATGAAGCCATTCATTCTGGTAACAACCTTAGGTGGTGTATGTTTTCATATCACCATGTTCCAGGTGAGCACAGAAGCACAGGGAGGTTAAGTAACTTGCCTGAGATGACATAGCAAGGGACAGAAGCAGGATTCGAACCCATGCATCTGGCCTTTGGGCCATGGTTTGACCACAAGGTTTTTCCCTTGGTGAACTTGGGTTCTCTCTGGAAAGTACTCTCAGCATTGTCAGCTTCATCAGCACATCTAGAATGGACTCATGGCGGACGCTCATGGACCAGGCTCACAGGGTCCAGAATGTCCATGAACTCATTTACAGTGAAAAACAGAAGATCAAGATCAAGATACTCTTGTCCATTTGTTTGTACATTCTCTCCCTTATAGACATTCTTTAATGGTGGGGGGAGACACAGAGAGAGAGAGAGAGAGAGAGAAAGGGAGGGAGGGAAGAGGAGAGGGAGGAAGAGAGAGGCTTTCCTCCATGGGGTCCAGCTTCCTCTCCTACTGGGCCTGAGCACACTCTGTCCTGCACACACAGGACCATTTGGTGTCCCCAGACCTTTCTGTTCTAGATGGGCTTCCTTAGGAAACACATTCATTCTTCAGACAGAGAAGGCTGCAAAGATTCAGAAAAAAACTTATCTGAATTCAGACCCTCAAAAACCAACCTTGGTATGGATGTGGGGCCCTGAGGCTTTTCCAAGAATCCTGGGAGCAGATCTGAGCAGACTGTGAGTGGGGAGACACGGGGAGACAGACTGCCATCTTCCACCATTACAGTATGATGGTGGCCCCAATCCCTCCCACCTAAACCCACCTCGCCCCAGTGTCTATAAAGCCAAGGCCCAGAGGAGGGTCAACAGTGCTGCCCAGGCAGCTACTGACACAATACCTACCTCTTCTCTCAGGGTCAAGTGCAGCCCCCAAGGCTGTGGCGTCTACAATTGTGAGCTGCATTCACCTGGTTGGTCGTTATTCACTGGATACTCTTGTGTTAGGTCCTGTGCGTGAAGGAAAGCGGTAGTCCCTGCCTCAGGGAACTCTTGGGTGGGAGGAAGCAGCATGGGGAGACACGCCCGTGCTGAGTGCTGAGTGCTGTGGCCGCATCTCACGGGGGGTGGGGGGGGGGCTATGGGAGTGCCATGGAGGCTGGGAGCTAGGAGGGCTTCCCAGAGGCGAGGATGCTACAGGTAGGGCAAGGAGGGCTTTGTGTGGCAGGGCAGTAAAGGAAGGGATCCAGGCTGAGGACACAGTAAGTGCAAAAGCGTGGGGGCTCGAGTGAGCCTGGGGGCTCGGAGGAACTTCCAGGCCCGCATCACGAAGCTCTGTGGGCTTGGCCAAACTGAGGCAGAGAGGCAGGCAGGGGTCAAATGTCACACGGCCTTGTATGCCACACGTTTGGACTTGAACCTGAGGGCTTGGGGAGGGCCTGGAGGGTTTGAAGTCGGGGAAGCTCACGACTAGATTGTTTCAGAAAGCTCGCCCGGCTGCAGTGTGGAGGACGGATCAGAGAAGGCAGCTGCGGAAGCGGGGAGTCCATTTAGGGGGGAGAGAAGATGGTGGACTGGACTGGAGAGATAGCCATGGGGTCAGAAAGAAGGTGACAGGCTGTAGATGTTTAGGAGTAGAATGGCCAGGACTTGAGGCCAGTTTGGGTGAGTAGTGAGGTTGAGGAAAGGGTTCACGTCAACTTCAGGTGTTGAAGCATGAGATCCAGCTCCCCCGGGGTCCAGAGCCCTTGACCGTGGCTCTTCTCCAGCCTTTAGTGCCTGCACCTGTGGGGGAGAAATCCAGCGCTTTCCCATATAGATATCCTCCCTCCTCATTGCCCAACGCCGGTCTAACTGGGTTCGAGTGACCCTCGGGGCTCCTGTTCTCTCTGCCTACGCCCCCCCCATCGGGATTGCATGGGGAGGAGATGCAGAGTAGCCCTGCACAGCCCAGTCCAGGCAAATTGCAACACCTGTGCCTGAGTCCACAAGTCCTTGGGGAGAACTGGACATAGGGAGACCTGGAGTGTTGGGGTACAGGAGACAAAGTGGGGAATCTGGCTGGGAGGCCTATGGAGCGGCCTGGACCGACTGCCCTCAACACAGGGGCCACTGCACCCCAGCTCCCTACTTGTCTGTGCAGAGGCGCCCCCTCAGGTACCCACCCCCAAGCTGTCCTTGGAACCTCCTCTCTCTGGTTTGGAAAGACCCAGTGACCCTGGGGATGGCTCTTCCGAAGCTGCGTGGGATGCACTCACCTGAAGATGCTGCCTTGGGGATGGTTTCTGACAGTCTGCAGTGCTGTGCTGGGAAAGGCTGAGCTGAATGCATTGATCCTTTAGACAACCAGGCCTGCTGCTGGCACGGGCAGCCCTAGTGTGGGAACTGGAAATAGGAGCCCCTCCATTAAAAATTTTAGCAAATCCCTCCCTCCCCACCCTGCAAAGAGACCCAGCTAGAAAAGACAACTCTTCTGGCCTGGTGCCAGCAAACCTGTTTAGGAGAGAGCCCAGCGCAAGGGGCACACTGGGGTACCAGCACACCTGGATTTCAGCCCCGGCTTGCCTGCCCAGCCCAGAGCCCGTATGTAATGTACAACTTGTACAACCTTGACTGTGGCCCTGATGGCCAGCAGGGGCCTCTCTGCTAGGCTCAGCAGATTTCCCACCTGTGATTCAAGTTTGGAGAGAAGTCCCCCCACAGTGTCACACAGGAGGAAGCGCAGAGTGATTAGACAGGGGCGGGGACAGGATGAGCTCGATGACCCCAGTGCCCCGTTTTGGGCTGCCACCTTTTAGGTTGAGTGCCTGGGGCAAGGGTAGGCGGATGCATTATTGGGAGCAGATGCGGGGAGGGGGGCAGGGCACGCTCAGGAACTGGGAACTGGTGTGGCTGGGGCTAACGGGGCCAGGAGGGGAAACGGCAGCTGGGCTGGGGGTGGGGGGACACTGTGCCCCATGGAAGGGATGGGAGCTGCGGGCCTGGTGGGAAGGGCTGGAGCAGGAAATGCCCCAAAGAAGTCGGACGTTGGGCCTTGGGGGAGGGCACAGACCCTGCTCCCCACACAGAAGGGTGCCCCCAGCACAGAGAAACCTCTCTGGTAGGGGTTGGCAGCAATGGCTCCCCCACCCCATGCCCTCTGCCCCCTGGGTGGAATGTGCCTGATGGGGCTCGGCCCCATGTCCCACACCCCAGCCTTGTTCTCAAAGCCTCTTTGTTCCATGGGGCTGAGTTGTGGCCAGCCCGGATCTGATAAGGCCGGTGGGGCAGATAGTGGCCCGCCCTGTGCGCTGCACCGCCCCAAGCCACACCCTGGCCACCTCGCACGCACATGGCATGGGGCCCCAGCAGGGCATAGATGCAGGGGGCTTCCTGGCCAGGTTAGGGTTGGGAAGCCCCAACTTGTGGGCTGGCCCTCCCTGCAGTCCATTTAAGACCCCCCTCTCATCCGCATGGGGGAATTGGGTTAAGAGAATTATCCCCATTTCAGAAATCAAGTCTCCAAGAGGGAAAATGACTTGCCCCCAGTTATTTCTTTCATAATCAGAAGCATCAGCTGTGCTAAGTCTGCTATTCACTTGTCTTTTAAAATCCTAACAGCCTATGAAGTGACGTTGTTCTTAATTCCTACTTTGCAGAGAAGAAACTGAGGCCAGACAAGTGAAGCTACCTGTCCAAGGTCACACAGTAGCAGAGTCCAGACCAGAACCCAGGTGCCCTACAGCAGCAAACTGAAGGAGGTGGGAACTGATGAGTCACCATCCCAGAGGAATGGGAGGAAGGCATTTCGGCTTCAACCTAAAAGATCTGATGGGGCTGGGGGTGGCTAAGAACCCATCAGGGAGGGTGGTCCTGGAGGACTAATGTTCTAGAAGCTGTGAGAGGATCCCATGCTGGTGGGAGTGGCAATGGTTAAAATATGTCCACAAATCATTTGACACTCCTCTCCCCTTAGAAAAGACCATATAGCTTCTGCCTGGTTCTACCCTGAAATTGCCGAGCTAGAGAAGCTACGGATAGGTGTTCCTGTCCATAGGCTAGCGGAGCTCCCAGACCACAGCCAGCGTCGACTGTCAGCCATGTGAGAGCACCATCTTGGAAGCTGCAGCCCAATGGAACCTTCAGAGGGCAGCCC